GCCAAGGATTTTCCGGGGCGATGCGCCCTGGCTTCCCGGCTAGAGAACGCAAAAACCACAGGGGGTGGGCGGGCGGGGGGAATTCGCGCGGCCCGCGGCGCTCAGCGGCGCCGAACGTCAGCCGCTGCCCGACTTCGCGCGCACGGGGCCGGCAAGCCCTGCGCCTGCCCAGGCGCGCGAGAGATAACAGGGCCCGCCGCGGGCTTTGGGCCCGCGGCCAGACGGCCCGCCGCAATTCCCAAGGGGCGTCAGCGCGCGAACCGCGGAGAGCCCGCCTCCGCGAAGCGCGAACCTCCCGCCCCCTTGGGGCGCCGGCGAACGAGACAAGCGAGCGCTCGCCGCGAGCCGACCCCAGCAAGACGCAACGCGCAAACCGCTGAAGCCCCCGAAGGCCAAGAAGAAGAAAGTGGACTCCATCAATCACTTCCGTCATATTTTCCTACTCTCCAAATCGCCGCGCGAGTTGGGGCAAATTGACTCTCGGGAGTCAGCGCCGAGACTGCGGCCTGCAACTGCGCGGGCACGCCGCCCACCCGCCGGACGAGGCGGGCAAACTTGCAGACCGCGCCGGCCGGCCAAGCTGGGGCTCGGGAAATGCCCGGGGCGAAACCCGCCCCGCGCACACCCTGTCGCACGGGGGGGCTGCTCGGCTGCGCCCAGCAAGTCCCGGGGCTCAAGCCTAGGGGGCTGCAGTTCGCGAGGCCCCCGGGATGCCCGCTGCCTGGGCCAGGCAGAGGTCGTCTCCCAAAGCTGACCTAACCAGGCAGCTTCGCGCACGCGGACCTTCGAAGGCCTGCCCCCCCGGGGGTCTGTCCTGGGAATCGCTGCAAGGGCCCAGCTGGGCGAGTCATCCTGACACGCCGCGCACCACCCGCGCACCTGGCACCGCTGAGTGGACGCAGCGATGGCCTGCCCCGCGCGCGCCTCTGCCTCCCGCGCGCGCGCGACGCGGGCGCGGCCGCCTAAAGCAGACTGACGCACGCCCCGCTGCCGCGGCCAGCTGCCGGCGCCGGCCGAGACGAGTCCGACGCCGTTTGGACAAGGGCCCCTCCAAAGCCTTCGCCGCCGCGGACTTGGGCGCCCCCCCGCGCGATCTTGAGCTTCCCGGCGATATCGTCATGGCCGAGGCCGGCCACGCCCACGAACCGCCGCGCTGCCCACGCGCTGTCCATGGCCCTCTTGCGCGCATCGGCCATGTATTCATCGTCATATGGCGCCGCTGCATCCCCCCCTCCCGCCCGCTGCACGCGCGCTGCCTCTTGCGCGGCCGCCGCAACAGGCGGCGCAAATGCACCGCCCCCCGCCCCCACCTGCTCCAGCGGCGGCTGCAGGAGCTGGGGTTTGATCCGGCGCTGCGCCCGCCGCGCGCGGTCGCACCGCGGGTAGTTCCTCCTTGGCACGTTGCTGCTGCTGCTGCTCGCTGGCGATCTTGCCCAGTACATTGGCCATATCGGGTATGTGATTGTCCATCGCGGGCAGGGGCTGTCCTTTGGGCTGGTCGATCCTGGACGGAAAGACTACTTTGAGTGCCTCCGCCACGGCACCTTGCTAAGCGATTTGTTTTGCAGCCGCCTGCGCACCCTCCTGAAATTGCGCCCCCAATCTCTGAATATCCTCGCTGCACTGGTCGCCCTCAACCTCGCGGCCGCGCTTCTCGCTGACAGTGGCCACTTGGCCTTGAGTGAAGTGGCACGGCTCTTTTTCGTTGGCAAACCTCTCTTTCTTCTAGACAAGCTGATCCTTGGGGCACTGGGTTTGCAAGTGAAGCGTTGTGTCCGCGAGCGCAACATGCTTGGCCTGCTCGTAGGCCTCGGCCGCGTCCTTTCACTGCATGCTGCTTCCCACTGCTCACTGCCTCCAGAAGGCGATATGGGTTCGGGTAATTTTAATGATACTGTCATGTTCGTATTGACATTTGCCCTTGGGCACTGCTTCGCCTGCGGGATGCGCATATCCGGCGTCTTCCATCGCTGTCCTTGGTCCACGAAACAGACGTCGCCAACGGACTCGACCATTCGTTGTAGAAAACCTCCAACTGTGGTGCCCACGATACTGCGCGATCTTTTGCGAAGGCCTCTTTGCCTCCACTGTCCTTGCCATCAAAATGAGTCTAACAGTTTTGTTTGTGGGTGGCCACATTCGATCCACACAGGAAGCAAGAAGAAACCCCTCGATCACAGAAGGCCCATCCATTGCATGACTGCCAAAGACACCCAGCACTTGCCACGGCGAGAAGCCATCGTGCCACTGCTGTCAAACACAACAAGAAACACATAAACACAATGCGGCACAGCCCATCGGGCGATGGCGGGCCGCGCCCTGGCGCGACAAGGTCGTGGAGAAAACAACTCAACGGGTGACCCCAATCCCCACAGTGACAGCAAAGCTGTTTTACCTGCCGGGGACTAGTGATATCCACTTGGTTCACCTGAGATCTCTGCATGATGAGCCAAAACGGCTACGGGAGCAGGGAGGGAGTTTGAACGGACGGCGCGGCGGGGGGGGGGAGGGAGGGAGGGAACAAGGAGGGAGGGAGGGAGGGAACAAGGAGGGAGCAGGGAGGAGGGCAAACAGAGAGAACAGGAGAAGGAGGATGAGGAGGAAGAGGAGGAGGAGGAGGAGGAGGAGGAGGAGAAGGAGGAGGAAGGAGGAGAAGCGATTGAAGCGCATGCCGGCTCCTGCGTCCGCGACACAACACGCAACGATCGGCAACTCTCCCAGGCCTCGTGCACCATGCTTTTTGGGACCGATTCTCTTGGCAAAAGGCAGCCACTGGCGAGGGCAACCACTCCAGATTCGAGGGACCCGCCCTCGGGGTTCGCACGAGGCGCGCGGGTGGTCTCGAGCGCGGGTCGCTGCACTGCCATGCGCACGGCATGCTGTGCTCAGTGGACGGCATTCACTTGTCGAGCAGCACCTCCCTGACTGCATGTAGTCACATCAAACGTATGCCCCAGAGGATGCCGCACATTCTCACCTAGAAAACCAGACATTGCACAACATGCTGCGAGAGGCTCATCTTCCTCTCACGCAAAATTGACAGACACTCACTACAGTGCTCACCTATCGTCGCCAACGACTGAACCCCATCACTCTGGCGGATAGGGGTTGTCAATGGGAGGGTGTGGCAGGCTGTTGTGAGTGGACGGCAGCTTATACTGGGAAGTCGGCGGCACAAGACGCATGATCGCATAAAACACTCTGACCAAGGGGGGACATGCAGGGAGATGTAAAAGCGGGTTCCCCCATAGATACTGACCACATTACAAGATGTGTTATCCCTTCGGCCTCCTCGCTCTTCCTGCCTTCTCCTGCCTTCACGAGCGGCGAACATACCCGTATCCGCGCCCTCCCAGTCTGGACTCCGGGGCGCGATCCCGCGGACACGCGGTCGCACGGACACGTTCCGCGCGGGGCGTGCGCGACAGGACGCCCCGCATCCGTGGGGTCGCGGCCCACGGGCCCGACCCGCGAGGCCACGGATACGGACGAGTGCGTCGCCAATGCTACATTTTCCTGCCTCGTCCCTCGTCCTTCCTCCTCCCTGCTCAGACATTCCCCCTCGCGCCTCCCTCCCCGCGCCGAGGCCTCCGGAGGCCTCCCGAGACCTCGAGGCCACCGGATCTGGAAGCCTCTGAAGGCAACGCCAAAAACGAAACAGCGTCCACAGCCGTGAATCCTCACTCCAGTCGGCCCTTAGGCAGGATAACATCCTTCAAAAACATGAGACCCTCCGCCGGCCAAATCCCACCAGCGCTCTGGGCGTAGGTGGTCTAGAGAGTGTCCTCTTCCAACCCCCTTCTTCCCCTTCGGGGAGGGGTTAACCCCTCCCCCGACCCCCTCCCCTGGACCTGGACGGGGGGGGTTCGCGAGCGGTCAGAGCTTCCAAAATGGCCCAAGACGGCTCCAAGAAGGGCTCAGAGAGCCCAAGATGAACTCCAAGATGGTTCAAGATAGCGCAAGATGCCTCAAGATGGCTTCCAAGATGCTCCAATAGGCTCCAAAACCGCCCCAAAGCCGGCTCCAAGAGGCCTCCGAGACCTCCAAGGAGGCCTCCAAGAAGACAAATCCTTCAAAAACCTATGGAAAACAAATGATTTGTGCCTTCTCGCCTTTTCGCTTCCGATGGCCATCCGAGGCCTCAAGATGGCTCCAAGATGGCCCAAGAGGGCCCCAGAGGGGCCCAAGAGAGCCCCAAGACTGCCCCAAGAGCGCCCAGGAGCGCTCAAAGAGCGCCGCAAGAAGGTCCAGGAGGCTATTTCGGGGAGCTCCCGAGGGGGGGCGAAATTAGGGAACCCTCTGCTTTGATCGATCTCCTTCTCCAAAATGGCCCCGATAGCGCCCCTAAAGCCTCCCAAGAGCGCTCGAAGAGGGCCCCAAGAGACACCCAGACGGCCCCAAGAGGCACCTAAAACGCTTCCAAGAGGCCTCCACGAGACCCCTCAGAAGCCTGAAGAGGATCCCCGAGGCACCCAAGAAGCCCCCCAGACGCTCCAAGAGGCTTCCTAAACAAACACCAGCAGCAACAACACCACCACCACCGGCAGAAACAACGGCACCAGCAGCAGCACCAGCAGCAGCACCAGCAGCAGCACCAACAGCGCGAGAACCAACAACACCACCAACAGCACCAGCAGCAGCAGCATCACCACCACCACCAGTACCAGCAGCAGCAACAGCACCAACAGCAACACCCGTACCATTCGCTACCAGAGATCTCCCAATTCACCGTTGTTGCCCACGCTGTTTCACTATGTGCGTCTCTTCCTCCCTTCTCCTGTCAGCTCTCCTGGGCATCGTTTCTGGATGGGCTGATGGGGATACGCGAAGCGTCAGCAATTGAAGAACAGTCGAGGGTACCCTTCCCCATGATGCACAAGAACATCCAGCAAACACAAAAAAAACATTCAGATATCCTCCCCGAAGCGACCTCGATATTATACCTCGGTCCGACCAAACTCGATCCTCCGCGCTTCTCCGTCCCTCCCTCCTCCTCCCTCCTCGTCGATGTTCTTGATGCTCTTCTGGAACTCCTTCGTGGTCCTGCACGCGAAGCTGGCTCGACGGGAGCTGGCAGCGGTCCACTCTAATCCGCCTCTACATCCTCGATGTTCGCCTAATGCTAATGTTCCTCCTTCTCTTCCTCGATCTCCCCCTTCTTACACATCCTCCCTTTAAATCCTCTCGCTACTCGTACTTAATATCCGACCTCCTCTTACCTCAACTTCCCCTTCCTTGTTTCCTCCTTCACCCTCATGCACTCATGCTCCTCCCTTCTCCTCCTCCACCTCCTCCTCCTCATCCTCCTCCAATTCCTCCGCCTCCCCATCATGATCCTACTTTTCCACCCTCCTCCTCCTCCTCCTCCTCCTCCTCCTCCTCCTCCTCCCGTATGCCATCACCACCTTCCGTCCTTCTCCACCTCATTCTTTCGTTATCATCACTACCACCACGTTTCACTGCCATCATGATCTTCGTCTGCAATGTTCTTCCGTCTGCTCTTCATGCTCCTCATCCTTCTTTCCTCCCCTGCTCATTTCCTCCTCGTCCTTTTCCTACTCTTCATTGCTCTTCCTCCCTACATAATATAAGTTCCTCATCCTGCACGTCATCATCCATATTCTGCCCTATTCCTCTTCCTCCTCCTCCTCCCCCTCCCCACTGTCAGCAACATCCGTCCTCCCTCCTCCTCCCCCCTTCTATATTCCTGCCAGCACCCCTCTTCATTTTCTCCATGCAGTCATCGTGTCCCTCGTCCTCCCCTCATCGTCATCCCGTAATGCCTCCTCCTCTGCAATGACGACGAAAACGACGACGACAACACCGATGACGCCAACGCCGGCAGCGCTCGATCGCCTGACAATTCGACAGCAGGCGGTGGCGAGCCAGAATCGCGGAGCAGCAATATGGGTGCGACGGAAAGCATTCGAAGCAGCAGGAGCCATATGAATGATGGTGGCACGTGAAACTCTCATTACCAAGTATCATACGGACCCCTGCGAAGACATAGAAGTAAGAGGTACGTATTGGTGGTTGCGTCCAAGATTGGTTTGGCCGCTTCGCCTGGGGCATCATTATAAATCTCAATATCTGTACTGGTAAGGTGTGTACTTTAAGAAACTGTATATGACAGCGGTCAAAAGCACGATGTGAGTCATACGGTGGGCCAGTGGGTTTGAACATAATATGTGGGGTTCCTAGTGTAATGTTGCAACGTGTCGCCGACCTTGAGCTCGTCGTGCCCACAAATGCGTTTCTCACCACGTCGCTTGGCCGCACCGTCATCTATGGCAACCACATTGGTGGCCCCGCACTGTTTTTGTGTGAGCCTGGGCACGCGGGCACCACTCGAAACAATGGTCGTCGCGCGAGTACTAGCTTGAGTAGGCGTCCAGCAAAACTAACAACGTGGCCGTCGTAGCGTCACTGCTGGTAACGAGGAAGTAACATCAGTAACAGCAGCGGTAAGTGGCACGAGCAATAGTTATTGAAATGGCGCTTGCCGTCGCCGATGTAGCAGATGCGAAAAACAATATGAGCAGCACTGGCAGCTTTCGCCGTGGACGTGGAATGCTTAATAATGGTGATAACGATGGAACTGTACTGGTGAAGTATTGCCCATAATGATCGCATTGGTGGGAACAACGGTAATTGCAGTAGCAGTGATAAAATAAATGGAGAGATGCCAGCGGCAAACAGATTGGGTTTAGAGGTAATGGTGGTAGTGGTGGAAATGTGGATGGTCATATTGATACCACGAGTGGTAAAAAAGGAGGGATATGTAAAGCTGGTAATGGCAGTACGCCTAAGTACCCGTGGCAAGAGCAACGGCACTGATAGGAGTGGCCAGAATGGTTGTAGCAACGGCATTATTCGTAACAGGTTAGTTTTTTCAAACAAAAGCCCGCTGCGTTGAAAATGATTGCGAGGGGCGCGCCGGAATGACTCGCGCGGACGCGCAGGCACGTCGCCGCCGGGGCCTTAGATGGAGCTTTTCATGGGGCCACGAACCGCGCGAGGGGCGCGCCGACATGGGTCGCGCGGACGCATGGGGACGTCGCCACTGGGGCCTTGGGCATGGCCCTCCATCGCCACGAGGACCTTGGCCGCCTCGGGCGCGCCCCGCGCTGTCCGCCCCCCCCCCCACACCTGGGCCCGCGCCGAGTGCCGGGGAACCACGACCGTCGCGCGCAGGTCGCAGGGGCAAGCCATGCAGGCCCGGGCCCAGCCCGCGGCGGACCGACTGGCACAGCTCGAGCGCCAGCTCGAGCACGTCAAGGCCTTGCCCGACCACGCCCGCCGCGCGACGCGACAGCACCTCCACGCGCCGCGCGAACTCCGCGCCGCGGTCCAGCGTCAGGCCTCGCTCGCCCCTTCGGCGACGAGCGCCTCCGCCTCCGTCGCACCCGCCCTCCGCACGGCCAAAACGCTACTCGCGCGAAGCACCGGCGAACCTCCCCCCTTCGAGGCCCGCGCGCCGCCCGGCAAGCACCCGCCGCGGCCTGCCCCGCCGCGGGCCCTGAAGGGGCGCTGGATGGGCGCCGCGACTTCCACCGAGGCGCCATCGCGACAAAGACGGGCGCAGGCCTCGCTCAACCCATCCTGGTTGGCTCGCAGCACTGCGCTGCAAGGTCACAGCTCCGCCTCATGCTCGCTCGCAGAGGGCCCCCCATCGCCCCCCCTCTCCCCCCCCTCCTGGCCGCCCGCACAAGAGACTCTCTCACTCTCTCTCTCTCTCTCTCTCTCTCTACATCCCTCTCTAATTCTCTCTATCCCTCTCTCTCTCGTACTCTCTCTCTCTCTCTCTCTCACTCTGTTTCTCTCTCTCTCTCTCTCTCTTTCTCTCCCTCGCCCTCCCTCTCTCTCTCTCTCTATGTATATGTTTCTCCCTCTCTCTCGCTCTCCCTCTCTCGCTCTCTCTCTCTCTCTCTTACTCTCTCTCTCTCTCTCTCTCTCTCTATCGTATAATATCTCTCTCTCGATCTCCCTCTCTCTCTCTGTCTCTCTCTCTCTCTCTCTCTCTCTCTCTCTCTCTATATATATATATACACACATATGTGTGTATATATAAATATATAGAGATCCCTCTCACTCTCTCTCTCTCTCTCATCTCTCTCTCTCTCTCTCTATTTCCCTCTACCTCTGCCCCTCTCTCCCTCTCTCGTTCTCTCCCTCTCTCTCTCTCTCTCTCGTTTTCCCTCTCTCTCTCTCTCTCTCTTTTTTCTTCTCTCTCTCTCTCTCTCTTTCTCCCTCCCTCCCTCTCTCTCTCTCTCTCTTTATCTCTCCTCTCTCTCTCTCTCTCTCTTTCCCTATCTATATATACATATATATATAGATATATCAGAGTGAGGGGGCTGAACCCACCCCGCGACCCACCCGCGACCCACCCGCAACCCACCCACGACCCAACCCGCGACCCGCCCCGCGACCCACCCCGAAACCCCCTCGGCGACCCACCCGCGACCCACCCGCGACCCACCCGCGACCCACCCAAAATTTTCGGCGCCGGCGGCGGATTTCTTTTGCATTCGTTCCAGGTGGAGAACCTGCGACCCACCCGCGACCCAAACCGCGCCCGCGACCCACCCCGCGACCCACCGCGACCCACCTGCGACCCACCCGCGACCCACCCGCGACCCATCCAAAATTTTCGGCGCCTTCGGCGGGCTTCTTTTGCATTCGTTCCAGATGGAGAACCTGCGACGCACCCGCGACCCAAACCGCGTTCAGTGTACAAATCAAAATTTTCGGCGCCTGCGGCGGGCTGTTTTTGAATTCCTTCCAGGTGGGGGTGGAGAGCCCGCGACCCACCCGCGACCCAAACTACGTTCACTGAACAAGCCAAAACTTCGGCGCCTGCGGCAGGTTTCTTTTGCATTCGTTCCAGGTGGAGAACCTGCGACCCAAACCGCGTTCAGTGTACAAATCAAGAATTACGGCGCCTGCGGCGGGCTGTTTTTGAAGTTCTTCCAGGTGGGGGTGGAGAGCCCGCGACCCACCCAAAGGAGGGAGGAGGAAGAGGAGGAGGAGGAGGACGACGACGGAAAGGAACAGGGGGAAGGCTCGGGATAGGGGAGGAAGAGGGGGAGGAGGAGGAGGCGGAGTAGGAGGAGGAGGAGGAGGAGGAGGAGGAGGAAAAGGAGGAAAATGAGGACGAGGAGGAGGAGGTGGAGGAGGAGGCGGACAACGACGACGACGACGACGACGACGATGAGGACAAGGGGGACGAGAAAGAGGAGGAAGAGGAGGAGGAGCAGGAGGAGGAGGAAGAGAAGGAGGCGGGCGCCATCGACAGGGAACGTGAGGGCCATGAGGTCCGCCGGCTCGACGCCCGCGTCGCCCGCGTCCGCACCCTCACTCTTATCCGCAATTGCGGGGTGCTCTATTTGTCTCTCTCTCTCTCTCCTTCTCTTTCCCCTCTCTTCTCTGGCTCTCTGCAAGCTCCCCGACCCGCATTCCCGCGTGGACGGGGCGGCCCCCGTCGACGCGGCCACCGCGCTTTCGCGCTCGAGCAGGGAGATTTTGGCGAGAATCGAAATTGCCAGCCACACCGTGCTAGTTAATCCCATCATCGCATGCGCGGACATTTTGGGGTCGGCCTCCGCCGACGCCGCCACTGGGCCCCGCGCGCCCGAAATAACCCCATGCTCGCGCGGCTCTGCGCTGCCCCGCCCACCCTCGGGGTGGGCGCGACCCCGGTCCCATCGAATGATGCGCGCTCATGGCTACCCCCCCGTGCCGCGCGCTCTACCTCCGCCGACTCCGCCCCAACTCTCCGCCGACGTCCGCCCGCGGGTCGCGCGCGGCCGATGCAACCCTCGGCCCGAGCCGCGCGCCGGCCTCCGGCGCGTCGACCAGGGCGGCGCGGCGCAATCAGACGCCGCGCGATGCCCGCCGCGGGCCGCGCGCCCTCCCCTCGCCCACTTCCTTCGCCCTCCGCCGACGCCCGCCCGCGGAGCGCGCGCGGCCCGCGATGTCCAAAGCTCGCGCGGCTTCGCGGCGGCTCCGCGCGCGAGGGAACGAACGCCGCGGAAAAATCATCG